TTACAATTCCATATCCATTCCCGTAAGTTACTGAAATTCCAAAGATGCAACCTCTTCAACAAAAGGTTTTCAAACTAGTTCTGTATCCATAATGTTCCTTGACCTTTTAAAACATCCTTCATTTTTTGAAAAAAAATTTTTAATGTTTTTTATTTATTTTTGAGACAGAGAGAGACAGAGCATGAGCAGGAGAGAGAGAGGGAGACACAGAATCCGAACCAGGCTCCAGGATTTGAGCTGTCAGCACAGAGCGTGACGAGGGGCTTGAACTCACCGACTGCGAGATCATGACCTGAGCTGAAGTCAGATGCCCAACCGACTGAGCCACCCAGGCACCCCAAACATCCTTCAGTTTTGAATCATTCTTTTCTCTTCACCCAAGTGATAATAAGCCATATCTCTGTTTTTCCTTCTACCTCCTGGAATTAATTTTCTGTTATCCTCATTGGTCCCCCTTCTTTCTAACCATAAAGGGAAACTGCCCCAATGCTTTGTCCTTCGGTTTTCATACTGATTCCTTTATTTTCCTGTGACAGCTTGGCTTCGGTCATGCCCTCAAACAAATGACTACTGAATTTACATCTTAGACCTGGAACACTATTTCTGAATTCCAGTTCTTCATTTCCAATGCCTGGTTAATATCTCCATACCAATATCCTGCCTCAATAAACATGACCAAATTTAACTTTCTAACAAAACTCTTTGAATGCCACCATTTCTGTACACTGTTACTTTTTGTCTCAATTACCCAAGTTCAAAATACCAAAAGAGTATTTTCTCACTTCTTATTCTTATCTGCCCATATTTGGTCAGTTAAAAAAAACCCTGTCAAATCTTTGCACTGTCTATACTTTGTGATACAATGTTGATTGTAGGACTATGGAACCAAGACAGATTTGAAATCCCAGCTTCACGACTGACTAGATGTCTGGTATTGGGTAAAGTCTTCAACCTTACTATATTTCATTTTCTTCTGTGAAATAATAATATCTCCCCATTACGAAGAATATGATGAAGAACAAATATTTTTCAGGAAGTCCTTCCCTATCTAGCCCAAGCCTCCATACTTTTTGTCCTATATTACTCTATTTTCTTTAGAAATTAACAATATCTAGCATTCTATGCTGGGTTTGTTTTTGTTTTTGTTTTTTAGCCTACATGTTTATTTCCTGGGCCTTCCCACTGAACTTTATGAAAGCAGAACATCGGTCATTATTATTTACCACCCAGTCTAGAATAATCTCTCTCACATATTAGGCAATCAATACATATTTGGTAAAGGAGTGAAGGAATAAAATATATAAAGTGTCTATAACAATGACTTTTACTGAGTGTCTGTCCTCTTCTTTACAATGTCTTCTATTTTCTTTGCCACTACTGTTCACTTGAATCAACCCTAATCACATCATTTCTGGCCTATAATAGTTTCTCTGCCCTCATCTGTCTCCTAACCCCCCTTAATCTGCTAGCAAAATACTGGATTAATCTCCTTTAAAAAAATTTGTCAATAACATTTATTCATAGAGCACCAACTATGATAGAACCACTCTAATTTTCTCCTCAAATAACTTCAATAGATCTTCACTGCATTCATTAAGAAGTCTAAACTCCTTAGTATTCCTCCAATCTTCTTTTCATACCCCCACTAACTTCCTATTAATTGCTTAAATGAACATCAGTCATTTTGATTGTCCTTAAAAAAGACAAGTATGTTCCCACCTTTGATTATACCATACCATCCAACTAGAATATATAAATGAAATTCTTCTTTTAGGACCCAGGTTAAAACAACCATAATTAAACACTGCAGCACTTTTTATTTCTCTAAAATTTTTAACTGTTATTACAAAATCATTAATATACTCATAAATGTTTATAAAGAATTTATGCAGTTACAAAGTTTTCTAACTTCCTAATCCCATGCATAATCACTGTTCATTGTTCATATATCCTTCCAAATGTGATCACTTCAAATGATTTTCTGTTCTTCAATTGTCAATACATATATATGTAGATTTAGAAATACTTATAACATTTTACAAATACTATTCTGCAACATACTTTTTTATTTCCTGTATCTCGGTACTTGAGCTTTCTAACACCTGCAGAGCTCACCCCTTTTTCTGAATTCTTACCTGATTTATTTGTTCTAATATTCATGTCACGAAGCATGTTTTTTAAATATTTTTATTCACCAATTTAAGTATTTTGTAATCTCCAACTAGATATCATTTCCTAATCACTTGTTTCAGCATTTTAAAAATCAAGATATAATGATGATTTAGTGCAGGTCACCAAATTAATTGTTTAAGAATTTAATAGTTTTATCCACTTCCATTAATTATCCAAATTGTCCTTTAAAGCATTGGGGGGGGGGGGGAGGAAACTACTTCCCAAAGGAATCATTCAAATATGGAAACCTGAAAATTAGAGATTCACTTTCATTAAAAAAAAATTTTTGAATCAACAAAAAGCTTCTAGAATTAAGAAATGAGAATAGCAAGGTGGCAGAATATAAGATTAAATTAAAATATCAATGTATTTCTATATATTAGTAACAAATAATCCAAAAATGAATTTAAGAACTCCATTCACAATATTGCCAAAATAAATAAATTACACAGAAATAATTTTTTTAATAAACAATAATTAGAGAATGGAAGAAGATCTAAATGAATTGAGAGTTCACATTCAAGAATGAGAATACTCACTATTGTAAAGATGGCAATCTCCACAAATTGATTTATAAATTCAATGAAATTTTTACCACTATTCCAGCAGGAATCATTGCAGAAATTGACAACCTGATCCTAAAATTCATTTGTAAATGCAAGGGACCCTGAATAGCCAAAGCAATATTGAAAAAGAAGAGTAAAGTTGGAGGACTCACACTTCCCTATTTCAAAACTTAACTACAAAGCTACAATAATCAAGAATGTGTGATACTGGCCTAAGGATAGATACACAGACCATTGGAATATAATCATTCAGAGTCTAGAAATTAACCCTTACCTTTTAATGGCTAACTGATTTCTGACAAATATATCACAAACAATTCACCAGGGAAAGAATAATCTTGTCAACATATGGGGCTGGTATAATTGAATATCTACACGCAAAAAAAATGAACTTGGACCCTTACTTCATACCATGTGTAAAAATTCACTGAAAATGAAACATAGGTCTCGATTTCAGAGCTAAAATTATTAAACTTCTAGGAGAAAACATAGAAAAATTTAGTGACCATAGAGAGACTTCTTAGACACAACATCAAAAGCATGATCCTTAAAAGAAAAAAATCATAACCTGGATGGCTTAAAACTCAAAAATTTTCTGCTCCAAAAGAGACCATTAACAAGATGGAAAATTCGCTGAGTGAAAAATCTTTGCAATACATATATCTAATAAAGGACTTATACCCATATATCTACGCTTACAACTCAATAATAAGACAAACAACTCACTTGCAAGATGAGGAAAAAATTGGTATAGACATTTGATGAAAGAAAGTATATGCATAGATAATAAGCAGAGAAAAATGTTTGTCATCACGACTCATAAGGGAAACAAATTAAAACCAAAAATAAATATACCACTTTATAGCTACTAGAATGTCTATAGCGTAAAACAAAAAAACACTAAGTGTTTGCAAGTACATAAAGAAACTAGAACCCTCCCACGTTTGTGGTTTATTTTATTTTTTTTGTGGTTTCTACTTTTTAGAAAGCAATTTAGTTTCTTACCAAATTATGCATACACTTACCATACCTACCAGTAATTGCACTGCTAAGAATCTCCCCAAGAAAAATGAAAACATACGTCTACACAAAGACATGTAAGTAGGTGTTCATAGCAGCATCATTCATAATAGCAAAAACTGAAAATAATCTAAATGTCTATCAACTGGTGAATGGACAAAAAAAAATGTAGTGTATTCATATAATGGAAAATCACTCAGCAATCAAAAGGAACAAACTGTGCATATATGCTACAACATAAATGAGCCTCCACCACATCACACTAAGTGAACGAAGGCAGATGCATACGACTACATATTGTATAGTTTGATTCACATAAAATGTTTAGAGAAGCAAATTTAAAGAAACAGAAGCCAGATCAACAGTACCTAAGACTGCAGGAGGAAGTTGAGATTAACTGTGAATGAGAAAGAGGGAAACTTTTGGAGTGGTGGAAATTTCTAACAGTGGATTGTGGAGATGGCTATACAGCACTATCAATTTACCAAAATAATTAAATCATACATATAAAAAGGGAATTTTATAGTATATAAGCTATATGTCCTTAGAGCTATTAAAATATAACAGGGACCAAAAATATTTCTCTATAATTTGATATTTTTATGCTCAGCAATTTTTATGCAGTAGGCATACAAGCTTCCACAAATCCTCAGATATAAGACATTACTAATGTACTAACTAGTTTATCACATTTTAGATAAATGATACAGTATTTATTAGTTTATATGATTTAGGTATAGAGTCTAGAAGCTAAAATTTTACTTCCACAAATATATTCAAAATGAAACTCTAAAGAATCCAATTACCTTTTTAAAAAAATATTTTTTAAGTTTTTTTATTTATTTTTGAGAGAGAGACAGAGTGTGAGTGGGGGAGGGGCAGAAAGAAAGGGAGACGCAGAATCTTTGAAGCAGATTCTAGGGGCGCCTGGGTGGCGCAGTCGGTTAAGCGTCCGACTTCAGCCAGGTCACGATCTCGCGGTCCGTGAGTTCGAGCCCCGCGTCAGGCTCTGGGCTGATGGCTCAGAGCCTGGAGCCTGTTTCCGATTCTGTGTCTCCCTCTCTCTCTGCCCGTCCCCCGTTCATGCTCTGTCTCTCTCTGTCCCAAAAATAAATAAATGTTGAAGCAGATTCTAGGCTCTGAACTGTCAGCACAGAGCTCGACGCGGGGCTTGAACTCACCATCACCTGAGCTGAAGTCAGATGCTTAAATGACTGTGCCACCCAGGAGCCCTTCAATTACCTTTTTCAAAGCAGGGCAGAAATTAAAGAAAAGTCGGTGGTTATATGCTCTAAATCTTTCAGGAAGATGCCAGTTCTGAATTATTTCTTCATCAGAAATCACATGATGATCCAGTGCTTTGAGAGGCCATATACTGTTGACAAGAACATGTCTATATCCTTTTTTAAGGCTCACTGGGCAATCAAACATAGTGAGGGCAATTAGACTTGGACAGGCAGATAACATACATATATTCTTTAACTTTGCAAACCCATTGTCATGAAGATAGAGGAGTTTTAGTTTCTTCAGTCCACTCCAAAATTTGGTATCTGGTAGACTCTTTATCTGAAATATTATCAATAATAACATCTTAAATACAAATGTTAATTTTCTATAAATTGCATGGAAAACGGAAAAATATTAAACATCTTCTAAAACTCAGTATTTTTCAAAATGGCAAATTTCTCATTAATAAGCCAAAAACGAATCTCTAGTTTTCCAGTGGTGACTGGAGTAAAAACATAATACATTGTTCCTCTGGACTAGGTTATCATTATTAGTATAATTAAAAGAATGGACATATATACTTTGTTCAGTAAACATTTCTTTGTAGTAGGCCAATTCTAAACTTTTCTAAAGTACTTTACTGATGTAAAGAATTAGTGTGATATACCCCATTAACAAAATAAAGGATAAAAATCATATGATCATCTCAATAGAGAAAAGGCATTTGACAAAATTCAACATTAATTCATAATAAAAACTCTCAGCAAAGTAGATACAGAGAATATACCTCAATATCATAAAAGCCATATATGACAAGCTACAGCTAACATCATATGCAATGGTGAAAACTGAAAGCTTTTCCTCTAAGATCAGGAACAAGACAAGGATGCCCACTCCTGCCACTTTTATTCAACACAGTATTAGAAGTCCCAGCTAGAATAATTGGGCAAGAAAAAGAAACAAATGGCATGCAAAACCAAAAAGGAAGAAACAAAACTGTTACCATTTGCAGACAACATATTATATACAGAAAACCCTAAGACTCCACCAAAAAATTCTTACAACTGATAAATGAATTCAGTAAAGTTGTAGGATACAAATTCAGTATACAAACATCTGTTTCATTTCTATATACTAATAATAAGCTATCAGAAAGAGGAATTAAGAAAACAATCCCATTTACAACCGCATCAAAAAGAATAAAATGCCTGAATGAGTTTAAACAAGGAGGTGAAAGATCTGGACACTGAAAACAATGACAAATGTATGAAATAAATTGAATAAGAGAAAAATAAATGGAAAGATATTCCATGCTCATGGACTGAGAGAATAATGTTGTTAAAATAATATTGCCCAATGTAATCTACATATTCAGTGTAATCCCTTCTAAATTTCAAAGGCATTTTTCACAGAAATAGAAAAAGACTCCCAAAATGTGTATGGAAACACAGAAGACCCTGAATAGTCAAAGCAATCCTGAAAGAGAATAAAGCAGGATGCATCCTGCTCCCTGATTTTAAACTATATTATGAACCTATAGTGATCAAAACAGTATATTATTGGCATAAAAACACACAGATCAATGTAACAGAATAGAAAAACCAGAAATAAACCCATGCATAGATGATCAATTGATTTATGATGGTGTCAGGAATACACAATGGAGAAAGGGCAGTCTCTTCAAGAGGCCATACACAAGGGCCTGTAATCTTCTCTATATCATTCTAATTTTAGACTATGTACTGCTGAAGCGAACACAAGGGCAGTCTCTTCAATAAGTGGTGTTGGGAAAACCAGATAGCAACAGGCAACAAAACAAAACAAAACAAAACAAAACAAAACAAAACAAAACAAAACAGAAAAAAAAAAAAAAAAAGAAACCAGACTACTATCTTACACTATATACAAAAATTAGCTCAAAATGGATTAAGGGCTTAACCTAAGACCTGAAACTATAAAAATCTGAAAACAAAACACAGGCAGTAAACTTCTTCACAATAGTCTTGGTAATGATTTTTGGATTTGACACCAAAAGCAAAGGACACAAAGGCAAAAATATATCAAGTAAAAATATATCAAACTAAGAAGCTTCTGTACTGCAAAGAAAACCATCAATAAAATGAAAAGGCAAGCCAGTAAATGGAAGAAAGTATTTGCAAATTGTATGTGTAATAAGGGAATAATATCCAAAATATATAAAGAACTCATACAACTCTATAGAAAAAATAAAATCCAATTAAAAAATGGACCGTGAATCTGAATACTTATTTTCTAAAGAAGACATCCAGATAGATGGCCAACATGGTACATAAAGGGATGCTCACTGTCTCTAATTATCAGGGAAACACAAATCAAAACCACAAGGAGATACCACTTCATATCTGTTAGGATGCCTTTTATCCAAATGACAAAAAATAACAAGTGCTGGCAAGGATGTGGAAAAAGGAAACCCTTATGCACTGTTACAGGAATGTAAATTGGTACAACCACTGTGGAAAACAGTATGGAGGTTTCTTAAAAAAACTAAAAATAAAACTGCCATATGATCCAACAATTCCACTTCTCAATATTTATCTAAAGACTAGGAAAATACTACCTCAAAAAGATATATATACCCTCAATATTCATTGCAGCATTATTTACAATAGTCAAGACACGGAAGCAGCCTAAGTGATATATATATATCTCAAGTCATTATGTTGTATGCCTGAACTTAATATGTTATATGTCAATTATGTCATTAAAAAAATTTAAAAGTCCAAATAATTTTTAATGCAGGCTATTAAGAAGTAAAATATACCAAATCACAAAGTATTTACATATTTCTAATTCAAAAATTTTGCTTAAATTTAAATTTTTTTAAAAGTAGTCTCTACACCAATGTGAAGCTCAAACTCATGACACCAAGATCAAGAGTTGCATGGTCTATGGACTGAGTCAGCCAGATGCCCCTTAAATTTGTATTTTTATATATTTTATTTAGTTTTAAATTTTTATTTACATTTTATGTAAAAGACTGAAATACTGTAGATAGGTAACATACGTGTTTTTAAACATCAATTTCATTTATACACAAATATCTAAAATGCTATTGCTTACCTGATTTCCATGGAGATCAAGTTTGACTAATCTTATACAACTTTGAAGTGGATGAATATCTGTGATAAAATTGTTTGAGAAGATGCATACTCTCAGAGAGATACAGGATTGCAAATTTTCCATAGATTTTAAATGAAGGCCACTGAATTTCACAAAAACAAAATCCTTCTGATCTTCTATCATGTTGTCATTATAGTGACTCCATTCTTCATGACTGGTTAGTTCTTTTGTGATTGTTCCATGAAACATCTAGGCATAATAGGAAATTGCTTAGAAAAGTTTTTTCAACTTCCAAAAATAAATTTAAAACAAAAAATATTTGCTAATAGATAGAATGAAATGGGTAGAAAAGTTAAAATTAAAAAATCTAACTTGTAAGTGGAATCCAAAAACATTAAAAAAAACAATAAAGAAACAAAAAGAAGAATCAGACCTACAAATATAGAGAACTTATGGTTGACAGGCAGGAGGAGGGTGCACAAAATGGGTGTTACAAATTTCTGTTATAAATTTCTTAAAGAAACAATTTACAATCACATTACTTATTTCTATGTTCAATTCAACTAGGCAGTTAAAATCTGGAATTCTATTAGTTTTAAAATAAGACTAATTTATCTAAAATTCCTGTATCAAAGCTTTTTAAAGTAATTTTACATAGTATTTCTTATATATTTGAAATTTCCCTTACTCTGGGTAATTTAAGCTTTTACAAAACACAGTTACCCAGTGATAGTTTAAAAGAGAATAACTGAGCTCAAGTGGCCTGAGAGCATTTAGTCAGATTAACCACCTTCCCTATTGGAAGAATCTTTCTACCATGTGAAGGTAAACTAGGTAGGCATAATCCAAATGAAAATAAATGTGAAAATCTAGATAAACCCTTGCACTCATTCAAGAGATTAGTTCCTTTTTATATGCTGACCAAGGCCTACAACTATAATTAAATTCTAAGTACCATCTAAGAAATTAAACAAAATGCAGATTCCTAGGCCCCATATCATATCTATGTTATCAGTCTCTGGGCTGAGGGTCAAGGAATCTGTAATTGAGCACGTTCCTGGGTAAGTCATGGACACATTGAGAAAGAATAAAGACCCTGATATAAAATAAACAGATAAGAACGAATCTTTATAAACTTACCAAGCTCTATAGGTCCTGAAATGAAAGGCAATATACAAAATGTATTCCATCATTTGGACTCCCTATTTAGAAAAGACCTCAAGTCTTTCCTCAGGCTCTCCTTTCAAAAAAACCTATTTTTTCCATTCTGGCCTAATACAGGCAAACTCCAGTTTATAACAAGGGTTTATGAGAAACCATATATCAGGCATAAATCAGGATGTTTTAAGACAATGGGGTGCTCAAAAGTTTCACTTATAGAATCCAATTTTGAGTCAATAACAATTCTGGAAGAAATCTGCAAAGTGAGAGTCATATACCAAGTGAATTTTTTTTTCCTTTCTATTTGTGTAACCAAGTGATTTTTTAAAATTATTAATAGACTTTATTTTTTGGAGCTGTTTTAGGTTTACAGAAAAACTTAAAGTACACAGAGATCCCATATATACCCCCATAACTCCCTGCACCTTCAGTTCCCCCTATCAATACCTTGCATTCGTGTTATGTATGTGCTACAATTAATGATCCAATCTTAATGAAATATTAACTAAAGTTAAACTTTTTTAGATCATAACTTATAACAATCTCTAGACAAACAAAACACATCAACATGGAACAGCAGAGATCCCATTTCTTCATATAAAGCTGAAGTTGACTTTATATCTTTAGTCACAGCATTGGTACGTGTGTGTGTGTGTGTGTGTGTGTGCGCGTGTTTGTGTGTATGTATATATATAAATATATATATAATAGATGCACAGATAAACTATTATTTCAAGCATTCATTTCTCTGCTTATTCATCTCTAATAGTTTGATATTTCTTTACTTCTTTGTAGAAGATATCATCTGCCTAGCATTTATTTTTAGGGATTCTAAATAGCATTATTAACTAAGTATAGTTAATGTCTACAAACTTATCACAGGCAATGAAAGATTTTTATGTTAAACTTTTCTGTATTAATGCTATCCATATGTCACTTAAATGTGATGTCAATAATCTACCACTGGTATTATTCAAAGGTAGAATGTTTTCTATTTCCTTTATTGATCTCAGACACACTAGATAACCTAACTAAATGAAAACTTCTGTAATTAGTTAAGCATTCTAACTTTAGCTGTTAGTTGACTAACATTGCTACTAACTGTGAGTTCACTGATACCATTTTGTGAAGGTAACTGATACTGATACGTAAGATAACATAGTCCCTTTCCTCAAAATGCCTAAATATGTTCAAAATAACTTTTTAATAATACCCAGTGAGGGAGTTAGTGTGATTGGTATTATTGCCTCACTGGAAAACTTTTTCTTGCAGATAAGACATATAGTTTGAGGAAAAGAATTATTAGGTCACACAAATCCAAATTTGAGATAATCTTCATGATAGTACTTAATTGAATGCCTTTTTACTCATTTTGGACAAACACTTCCTAGATTTAATTAAAAAGATGCCAATTACAGACAGATAAAAAACCATCTGTAATAATTAAATAGTAAGGTAACTAGGGAACTCTAAAATTTCATGGCCTCATAATTTTTAAAAAATCTACATTGTCTAATTATTTTATGTTTAAACACAAACCCATGAAAACAATAAAATTAAACATGGTTAATGAAATATGCGAAACTTCATTGTCTAGATAACTCTTAGTCATTACATTCCTGTACCATGCCTACATCCCCAATTTAGAAATTATGTATTTTTATGTTATATAATTTAATTGTTGCCTTTCCAATTATATTACATGTACCCTGATGTCAGGACTTTTTTTGTGTGTGTGTGGTTAGCTATATATTTTTCATAGTTTAGCATGGGAACAAAAACTGAATCAGGTATAAATAAATAAATTGGCCAGAAATCCTACCTAGGTTGATCAGCTAAGAAAAAGAAACAAAAGGAATCCAAATCAGAAAGGAAGAAGTAAATTTTCTGTTTACAGATAACATGATCTTATATATAGAAAATCCTCAAGGGGCGCCTGGGTGGCTCAGTCAGTTAAGCACCCGACTTCGGCTCAGGTCATGATCTCGCGGTCCGTGAGTTCGAGCCCCGCATCAGGCTCTGTGCTGACAGCTCAGAGCCTAGAGCCTGGAGCCTGCTTCACATTCTGTGTCTCCCTCTCTCTCTGACCCTCCCCCATTCATGCTGTCTCTCCCTGTCTCAAAAATAAAAATAAACGTTAAAAAAAATTAAAAAAAAAAAAAAAAAGAAAATCCTCAAGACTCCATGAAAACTGTTAGAACGTACAAATGAATTCAGTAAAGATGGGGACACACAATAACCATGCAAAAGTCATTTGCATTTTATATATACTAACAATGAGGTATCTTAAAAAGGAAAAAAACAATCCTCTTATAATAGCATCAAAAGTAATAAAATACTTAGGAATAAATGTAACCAAGGAAGTGAAAGATCTGTACACTGAAATCTCTAAGACATTAATGAAGGAAATTAAAGATACAAACGAATAATCCTGTGCTCAGGAACAGTTAATATTCTTAAAATGTCCATTCTATCCTAAGTCAACTACAGATTCAATACAATTTTTAATAAAATTCAAATAGCATTCTTCACAAAAGTAGGAAAAATAATGCTGAAATTCATATGGGACAATAACAACAATAACCCAAAAATCTCAAGTAGGCAAAACAATTTTGAAAAATAAAATGAAGCTGAAGGCCTCATACTTCCTGACTTAAAAACATATTACAGATTCACAGTAATCAAAACAGCACAGTACTGGCAAACAAACAAACAAACAAACAAAAAACAATAGGCGCACAGACCAAATTACAACAATTGAGAGCCCAGAAATAAACGTATACATATATGTCAACTAATATTTGACAAGAGAACAAAGAATACTAAAAGAGAGGACAGTAATTTCAATAAATGGTGCTGAGAACACTGTCTATTCACTGGAAAAAGAATAAAATCTGACTCTTACACCACTTATTAAAAATACCTCAAAATTTGGGGCTTCTGGGTAGCTCAGTTGGTTGAGCGTCTCACTTAGGCTCAGGTCACGATCTAGTGGTTCATGGGTTCGAGCCCTGTGTCAGGCTCTGTGCTGACAGCTCAGAGCCTGGAGTCTGCTTCAGATTCTGTGTCTCCTTCTCTCTCCGTCCCTTCCATGCTCATGCTCTGTCTCTCTCTGTCTCGCAATAATAAATAAACATTAAAAAAAACTAAAAATACTCAAAAGTAAGTCAAAAATTAAGTCAAAAGACTTAAATGTAAGACTGGGGACCATAAAACTCCTAGAAGAAAACAGGGGAAAAGCTCTGTAACATTGGTCTTAGCAACGATTTTTGGATATGACACCAAAAACACAGGCAACAAGAGCAAAAATCAACAAGAAGGACTATATCACACTGAAACACTTCTACACAGAAAACAAACAATAAACAAAATGAAGATGCAAATTATGGAATGGGAGAACGTATTTGCAAACATCTAATAAGGGATAAATACCAAAATATAAAAAGTACTCATACATATCAGTAGCAACCCCCTCTTCCTCCTCCTCCTCCTCCTCCTCCTCCTCCTCCTCCTCCACCTCATCATCATCATCATCATCATCATCATCATCATCATCTAATTTTAAAATCATCATCATCATCATCATCATCATCATCATCAATTTTAAAATAGGCCGAGGACTTGAACATTTTCTTCCCCCAAAAAGACATATAAATGGCCAACATATACATGAGAAGGTGCTCAACATCACTAATTGTCAGGAAAATGCAAATCAAAACCATAATGAGATGAGGGAACAAACCCTTGTAGCCTGTTGGTGAGAATGTGAACTGAGACAGCCACTATGGAAAACGGTATGGAGATTCCTCAAAAAATTTAAAATGGAACTACCATATGATCTAACAATTATATATATAAAATATATATTCTAGTATATATATGAAGGAAATGAAATAACTATATTTCAGAGATATCTGCAACTCCCAAGTTCATTATTTACAACAGCCAAGATACAGAAACAAGCTAACTGCACACTGACTGATGAACAATTAAAAAAATGTGATATATAGATATAGATATATTTTACATAATGTATACACACATACACAATAGAACATTGTTCAGCCATGAGAAAGAAGGAAATTCTG